AAAGGCCCATATTGAAAGTAATCAGTTAAATTAGCAGAACCCTTAGATCAGTTAGATGAAGACAAATTTAGACCAGTGATGTCTGTGTGATTGATTTGTGTAATGACAGCATGTGAGGGGCCACCTCAAACCTGAAACTGTGGGGAAGATCAGATTTTATTCTACCTACAGGCAGGCTGACATCAGAGTAAGTGGTAGAAGATATCTAAGGGGGGGACTGTATATATATATATATATATATATAGAGAGAGAGAGAGAGAGAGAGATAGATAGATACAGGTTTTAGGGTTGGGGCACAATTGTAAGGAATCTCAAGAAATCTGGGTGAAATGTTTAAGGCTATAGGGGTAATCAGTGCAGGCTGGTACACACAGTTGGTGTCAGTGGACTGCAGGGTGAACTTAGCCTTACATTTAATTTTTTATTGTCCTTGCTTTTTTTTTTTTTTTTGGTTTTTTGCTGGTACCGGAAATCGAACTCATGACCTTGCGCTTGCCAGGCAGGCGCTGTGCCGCTGATGTCCTTGCTTCTTGTTTACCAGGGTTAGCTATTGCTAGTCCACTCAGGCCAGTCCCAACAATATGTAACGTTCACCTGGGGTATGGGATATAACTTTAGAGGCAATGCTTGCCAAGCATGTGTGAGGGTCTGGGTTTAATTTCCACCATCACCAAACAAGTACATACCATTTACCTTAAATTTACTGTAAAACTGCCACCAATACAACAGTAGCAACCACCTACTGAGCTTTTACTAGGTGCTATTCAGAGTACTGTGCATACTTAAGTCTACTTAAAGTAATTTTGCCTTGAACTAGTACCACACTGTTAAGTTCATATTAAGAGATCTGAGGCTTACTGAATAACCACAACTTATTCTTATTGAAGGCCTAACATGTATTGATTCTGTATGAGGTTTAATTCTCATGCATTTTCTTAGCAATCCTCAACACAACCCAAGGAGGTAGAAGCAACCATTGCTCCATCTCACAGATGATGAAACTGCAAGTTATTAAAGATGGAAAGCTCAAGTAATCTGAAGGACACATAGCTAGTCAGCCGAGGAGTGAGGATTCAAACCAAGGTCTTTCTTGACTTTACAACCATGCTCTTAAACCTCTAAGCTATATAACCTCTAAATGATTCTCATCCAGTCATTCTCAGGCATTCATGAGCACTTACTGGCACTGTGCCAGGCACAGGGGACACAATGATGAACAGGAGCAGTCCCTCTTCTCACACGCTGACGATGTGAGGGCACCACACTACACTGCACCCAACCTGACCTCAGAGCTGGGTCTTAACCACAATATTATACTGTGCAGGGCACCACTGTAGGGTTTTAAGCTAGAATATAATTATTCAGGAAATCTGAAGTTTCGTATTAATTTGGTTTATTGACATAGCCTCTTCTGCAGATGAATATTCTTACTGAAAAAAATTTAAGTCAGGCTAATTTGTAAAGCACAATAACTGGTTTCTTGTATTTCTACACAAAAGGCAGCTTTATTCCGCACCATTAATATGGAATAGCAGTCATTAAGGATGCTCTGAAAGTGTCACTGCATAGCGGTTCTAAAAAGAACAGACATCAGAAAGTACAAAATGTTTTCTAAACCCCTATGATGCGGTCCTCCACACAAAAAGCAGCAGCTACACATGAGTTTCAATTTATACATGATGAAAAGATAAAAATTAAGATTCAATACAGGTTAAGTTATTCAGACAGACCCTTCTGCTGAAAACAACCCAAGCTGCTATTTCAAGCACTAAGGAAAAGATTTCCCAATGGCATTTGAAGAGCTGATCACATAATAAGGAAGTATTGGGCCAAGGCTGAAGAAAAGTTAAAAGCCAGAAAAAGTAATCAGTCCCTTTCCTGAGGACACCTGTGTTAACACTTAGAAGAGAAGGGAGGGAGCTACCTGCCCAAGGTGGAAGCCCCGCCCATTTCCTCCCTACCATAGTCGAGAGACCCTCAGGCAGAGACAGACAAGACTTCACAAGCACAGGTTAGCGAACGGGCCTACATAACCCTCTGGTTACACTACATCTAATTTAAAGTAATTTAAGACTTGAGGTGCCCTAGAAGCCTCAAACTCAGCTTCACACAGTATCTCAGGATTATTCCTATAAGTTTCTAAAGACAACAAGTAGCAAAGCATGCAAGAAAATAAGTCACAACAAATGAAAACCAACAGAAACAGAAATCAGAATCAGAGGAAAAAGGCCAATGACATCCCAACGTTACGTTATTAGGCACAAAACATGAAATAAGTATGTTTTCTTTGCACATACAAAAAATTAAAGATGGGCCAAAAACATTACCAGAGAATTTTAAAAAAAATATTAGAAAGGAAAGATTGCTGGATGAGATGGCACATGCCTGTAATCCCAGCCCTCAGATGGCTAAAGCAGGAAGACTATGGAAAGCGCAAAAGCAGTTTGAATTATACAGTGAGATCAATGCCAGGCTGGAATATACAGCAAGACCCTCTCTCAAACCACCCCCTACAAAAAGAGGACATTAAAAAACTCAAATGATAGTTTTTAGAACTGATGAATTAGAATAGTGATCAGGTATAATTATTCAGAATTATTTAGAGGAAGAGAAAACAAAGTAGGAGACAAACTGAGTCCTGGGAAGATAAAATAAAAAGATCTTGTATTTCTACACAAAAGGAAGTTTATATTAATTTAACCAAAGACTCAGAGGGAAGGTAAAATAGAAAAGGAGAGGTTATATCTGAAGGGACAACAATGAAGAATTTTCTAGAAATAATAAAAGACACATTGACTTAAGAAGTCCAATAAATCCTAAGAAGGTTTAAGAAAAAGAATTATTCCATATTTAGATTTATGACAGCAAAACTACAAAACACCCAAGACAGCAAACTGAGGGGAAATAGATTACTTAAGAAAAGTTGCAAGCTTAACTACAAGCTGCTATCTAAACAACAGTGGAAATAAGATTCATTTTAAGTAATTAATTCTACCCTTGGGGTCAAGGAATGTCACAAAAAAACAAACCAAGAGGAGGATAGGCATGTTGAGCTAAGGTCAACACAGGTATCTACAGCCTCTAACACTATCATTTGCAGGTCAACCAACTTTTAGTGGTCAACATGGAATTACCATATATTGCACTCATTTACTATGTTCCTCCTTTTCTCTCTTTTTTGGAGCAACATTTCCTAAATTTCTACTACAGTATTTTCTGGGCTTTTTGTTCCATTTTTTTTCTCAGAACAAGCACAGAATGTATTACTATTTCCAATTTACATGTGCAATAACTTAGGACAGTAAGCAGCTTCTCCAAAACTACAATGCTTTTTCCATGCTGAAATGTGAGTTGGACTCAGACTGGATCCTCTATAATATACCATGCTGCCTTTTCTCTCTTTTTAGCCCTTCTTTGTTTTTCTGTTCCATCTGCCAGAATGAAATCTTTTTTAAAATGCTCCTTAAAGACAAGTTTCTAAATTCAAATAAGAATCTTAGGGGGTTTTCTGAAGCACTGAATAACATTTGAGTAGAAACACAGCAACAGAATTTCTGGTAAGAAAGTGTTTTATGAGCCTTAAACGACCTGATGTTTGTGTCCTTTCTCTAATGTCAGGTGTCATTCAAGAAAGGTCAAACATTTCCTCCAAGGGAGTGAAAACACTTCAGCTTATTATTCCATTTTTACATTAATTAGGCAACTCTGTGTAACACAGATTTCTCTACTAAGAACCAGTAACTAGGTTTCTAATTTTATCCAGCTCTGAAAACAACGGATGATTGAAACATATGGTGAATGTTTAAATTTTTTTTGTTTTTGTTTTTTTTTCTGGTACCGGGAATCGAACTCACGACCTTGCACTTGCCAGGAAGGCGCTGTGCCCCTGAGGTAAATCTCCAGCCCCTAAAATTTTTAAAATAAATTTATTACAGTGAAAGGCACACTACCATTAATCCCTTCAAAATACCCACCATACATGCATACACACCCTGTCCCACCATTCTTGCTACTTTCTGAAGCAGTTCTGGAAGTCCTGAGTGTTTCTATGATGCATAAGCAAAAACACAGTGAGTGCTGCTGACAAGTGTCATACAATGGGAAGGCAGACTCATAAAAACGTGTGTCCCCACCGACTTTATTCAGAGGATCTGGAACCATCTGACTGGCTCTTCCCCGAAGTCAAAACAACCATGAAAGGTAAGCATTTTGAGTCAATTTGGGACATCAAGGTAGCTACAAGAGCACAACTAAAGGTACCGAAGAGGACTTTCAGGGCTGCTCCAGATAGTGGCAAGCATAGAATGTGCATTGAAAGTAAAGGGGAGTATTTTGAAGTGGATTACTGGCAATGTCTTTTACTACAATATTGTTTGAAATTTAAACATTCATGTATTTTTAGGCTATACCTCGTAGTACATGGTCAACTACTGATCCCAGGAAATACGGGATCAATTCAAGTGCTAGTACTGACTAGTCATGAGACCTTAGGTGAGCTTCCCACTTTTTCAAGGCCTCAGTTCCCATTTCTGTAAAACAGAGATAATATAAATACCTACTTCACAGAGCTGTGGAGAGGTATTTCATACATATTAGCTATTATTGATGTTATCAGTGGTTTTATCAACCAGGACAAACTGGCTTAGCTCAGTTCCCCTATCCATAAAATGAGTGCATAAGCAAAGTTGTTCTTAAGTCTTCCAAGTTTGTCCTATTACATAATTAACTTAAATCAGTGTTCTGCACATTTCTCATCCACCTCCATTTGATCTCACGGCTTCATTTTTCTGTACAGTTATTATTCCTGTGTCACAAGTAAAAGGAACTATATTTGTTTTTATTTTTATTTATTTATTTTTTTTGGTTTTTGGTTTTTCTCCAGTACCGGGAACCGAACTCACGACCTTACGCTTGCCAGGCAGGCGCTTTATATTTGTTTTTAAAAAACCATTAACCCTTACTAACTCTTGAATAGTTCTGATCTATATGAAAAATCTTACAATGCATCCCACGATCTTAACTGTGAAGACCTCAATGACTACAACACACAAATAAATGTGGGGTGGAAATGGGAATTTACTCAGTCTTCCTACATTAGAAGTTATGATAGCTAATCATTTGCAGCTTGTACTCACCATCTAAGATGGACATATTTCTGCATGTTGACACTGTGGTCCTTGAGTTCCTGCTTCGAGAAGTACTCAGACCAGGGCCTGCTAGCAGAATAATGAGCAATGAATACACAATCTCACCAGGAGCTAAGGTCTTTTTTACATTGCACCTAAATGAGAGCTAGATAGTTACATCGAAACAGTTTGTAAAAAGCCAAGGTATGCATAATAAGAACATCTACAGTTTGGTCAATTTTCAGAGAATATTCTTTTAGGTTACATCTGGGTTACATTTGTCCAATTAAAATTTAAGGAAAAATTTTGTGAATGTAAGGATAATGGAAATAATCATCATTAGAAAATGGAAATTTCCTTCCCTGGAGACTTTAAAATACTATTCATTTTAACAGCTTAAAATTCATGTGGATAATTATTCAATGAAAACAAGTAAAAATGTATAATTAACATCAGGAAGCAAGTGTGTGATCATTTACTATTATTCATCAAATTATATTTTTATTTATTTTTTTTTTTTTTTTTTTTGTTTTTCTCCGGTACTAGGAACCGAACTCACGACCTTGCGCTTGCCAGGCAGGCGCTTTGCCGCTGAGCTAAATCCCCAGCCCCTCATCAAATTATATACAGTGATGATGACAATGCTAATGGACTGTCTTTAGAAATGAAATTGTTTTAAGTGAGTTTTCCTTTTTAAATAAATTCTACGGAGACTACTTTATAAGTATATATTTTTTCTTATGACAGTAACAAAAGTAATTTTTATGATCTGGAAAGTATATTTGCTAGATTTTTTTCTTTAACAATTCATATGTATTATTATTACTTTACACATGTGAAAGTATGATAATAAAAGTACCCAAAAGGTACTAAGAGAAAAACACAAGGAAGTATTTAAAAATATGGGTTATGAACAATCAAAACCCTATGTTGCAAGTGGCCATTCAAAATTCTTTTAAGTCAAAGGTGCATGTTAGAACTGTATTAAAGACTTTGTGCAGTATAAAAATATTTTGTTTAATTTTTAGTTTAAAGAGAAAGAAAATAAAATAACAACAAAGACAAAAACAAAACAACACAAAAACAATAAAACACTACAGGATTAAAAAAACAAAAAAAACCCCCCAAAAAACCACTACAGGATTGCAAAACAAGATGATAGGAATTTATTACATACGGTTATCTTCAACGAGGTTGCTCAGATTACCAGATGTAAGAATGCAAGATTGATCAAACAATTAAAGAGAATAAAAAATAATTAAAAAAAAAAAACCATTAGAAATGATACAGAGCTTCACTGAACAAGATGGTAAGAATTCAACAATGGTTGCTATATTGCAAATTGTTATCTTCAAATTAAAAGTAAATTTTTAAAAACTGTGTCTTAGAAACAAAACTTCACAGCTCAATTCTGAGTACAAGACGCAATCCTTCATTTCCAACTCAGCTTCCCAGTGGGAAGTGTGCAAAAGACAGTGTACAGCGCTGACCTCCGCCTCTCTGAGACCCTCCTCGGGGGGCCGAGCCCTGCCCTCGGCCTCCTCTTTGCCCTCGGCCTCGGCCTCGGCCTCTGCTGGGTGCTGCCAAGGTGCTGTTGTCAGAGTCGTCTCCCATCTGTTCAGCAAGATCCACACTCATGAGGTCATCAGCACTGAAGGCAGAAGCAGAGTCCTCCGACTGGGGTCTGAGTGCGCGGGCTCTGCTCATGGCCTGGATGTGGGGTTTGCGGGAAAGTACTCAGCAGTGGAGAGTGCAGCACCCTAACAACAGTCAACACTGTCCATCTACGTCGTTACTCCTCACTAATCGCACCACAAAAACATAAAGGGGAACCACCCTACAATCAGTCAGTACTTACTACGTGTCAGACCAATTTACAATGCTACATGTACAACATCACCTTCTAGGAAGGGTCATAAAAACTGAATTTAACAGAATCAAAAAATCAGAACTTGTGGAAAAATTGACAATCACCCTTAATCCAGTACTTTTTACAATGGGCTCTTAATAAACAAGGAAAACTTAGAAAAAACAGCTGTTATGTTTGGGTGGTGAAATTTTAAGGTGCTTTTGTTTTCTTTACTAGTCTTGAATATTACAAATTATATATGGTGTGCCTTTTAAAATAGTTTTATGTAATTAGAAAAACAGAAATCATCTCTTAAATAGATACACATATAAAAAGAGCCGAAGGCCTGAGAAATGGTAACTAGGAAGCCCTGGTTACCTACAAGCCTTCCAGCTACATATCTAAACTCATCATTCTTTGCTCTGAAAGACTCTCATTTGAAATATGTCATGTATTTTCCCACCTTCTTTCTATAAAATGTTCACATTTCTATTAACAGTGCTGGAAATTGAACCCAGAGCCCCACACAAATGCTAAGTTATACCCTCAGCCCTTACTCTTATCCTTTCAAAAGATTAATAGAAAACTGAGGTCTGTAGCTTGAAACACAAAGGATCCATAAGGAAGCCATAAGGAAATGTGATGCTAAATTGATAAAGTTAATCAATATTAAACCAGATGATTCAAGAACCAGGAACTATTTCTTTCTGGCATACATTTTTACCATTTGGCAAGCTCTGTTTTCCTTTAGGAGCACGTTATAAGATGAATACAAATGTAATAAATGTGGTTTGGGACCCCTACTATTGTTTCTTCCCCTTAACTTCCAAAAATAAGTCTGTCAACAGCACAATTGGGAGTTATGACACTTGCCTATAATCGTCATTACTCAGAAGGGGGCTAAAGTAGGAAGATCTATAAAAAAGGAATCAGTAAATAGTATTTTTTGACACGTCTTTCACTTACAAAACTGAGAATATCTTGTGGACACAGACCATAGCTTTTTCATATTAATATTTTTAACTAAAAGCAGAATGTCAACCCATAGGTATGAAAAATATCTGCTACTTGAAAGTAAGACAAAAACCCAAAAGTAAATACTTCTTTTTTTATCTTTTTAAGACAGGGTCTTGCTATGCAGTTCAGGCTGGCCTTGAGCTCACTTTGTAGCTTAGGCTGGTCATCAACTTGCAAGGATTCCTGTGCCTCAGCCTCCTGAGTGCTGGGATTACAGGAGAGCGCCACCACGCCCCACTAAGAGTAAATAATTTATATAACTGTTAACTACTAGATAATACTCATGAAACATTAAAGACCATCAGAAAACAAGAAAAAATATTTCAGCAAAGATAGAGGCACAAAACTTTAGTAAATGCTTCTTAACTCGCTCCCAACATGCAAAGAGATAGAAGAAACAAATGAGGATGGTGTCCAAGTTAACTTTAACATTTTGGAATGGGCATGGAAATTCTACTTTTACCTACAGTAGCACATCTAATCAAAGCAGTGAATTTCTTTTTTTGCCTAAAATTATGCTACCTCAATAGGGCACGAGTTTATTTTACATAAAATAGCAACTAGATATTCTTTTAATTAAAAAGAGTGACTTTTATAAATGTCCCCCCCAACAAATGCTCTACACAAGAGCAAAATCAAAACAGAATAATGACAAGAACACATGTAGGCTCAATTGAAATAAATCGAAGGCAGCTTTCCTTAGCCAACCTCTGCTTGCTCCTACCTGACAATTGTGGACTGACTTCTAGACAAACACACTAGTTACTGTAATTTAACAAATGCTCACATGAGCACAGGAATTTACAGCAGAAAAATTACCTCTCGAACTTCATCATCTTCTTCACTGGTATTTTTTTGTCTGCTTTCTCTGAAACGGCGTACCTAAACCATGACAGAGTAAATTGCAAACATGTTACTCATCCTGGTTATACAAATACAAAATAGTGCACTATAAATCAAGAAATGTTTCTTAGCATAACATAAAACTTAGAAATCTAACTATAGTTTGTCTTATAAAAGAATGACTAAAGAAAGAAATTCTATTTTTCCCAGTTACATTAAAATACCAGAAATATGTTGTAAAAAATAGTGGCTCTAGGCAAAATTACATTACCTGCTGCCAAAATGTTCTATGCCACTGAAAAACAATGTCAGACTGCAAAGGAAAAGCAATCCTAATATGCTATGGGGACTGTACCTCAGTAAAATAGCTAAAAATAAGTATCTCTTCTCTATGAGGCTTCAAACATTTATTATATTGCTCAAATCACTCTGGTACACCTGGCTGCAAGATACCCAGGAGGCTCTCTAAAATGGTATCTGATCGATTTTTCTCAACAGTCAACTACTGAACATTGGCTAACCATGGCTCTGGAACCAACAGGAATACTACCAGCTTCTTTTTCAATGTTTCCTGCTCACAAGGCTCTGACAATGCAGTTACAGTTATTTAATAACTATATAATTTAACTATCTAGCAACTACTATGTACAAGGTGCTACTATCAGAAATGGAAATATGAAAGTAGTCAAAAACTGCTCTCATGGTGCTTACAATCTAGTGAGAATCCGGGAGGGAGGTCAGTCAATGACAAAATTAAAGTTATATTTTATAAGGCAAAAAGGATCATGTTACAGTTTGTCCCTGAGAAGTCTCTGGCATCTCCAGGGTCAGTTTGTGTACTGATGGTTTCAACTTGCATGACTATGATTATGTGGCCACAGGGCATAAAAGGACTCCCTGGGAATTTCTGTACAGATCCTGGTGTTCAACACCTGAACCACTGTTTGCAAATACAGACTTAGGAAGCTACGTCTAGGTGTCCCTAAGATCCCAATGCCTGCCTGTAGTCTTCTTACTGTACTCTTTTACCCTCTGCCTTAAAATACAATCCTTAAGTGACTGTTCCCAGGAATCTTGTGTGTCCCTTCAAATATCTGCAGGTGGCAATCTTGGCAAAAGGTAAGTGCTCAGAGAAAAGTAAAGTGGAAAAAGGGACAAGAAGTGTTAAGGAGAAGTTGCAGCTGAATAGGATGACCACAACGGCCTCACTGAGCTCATATGTAAGTGAAGACCTTAAGAGGTGGGACATGAACCATGTCAGTACACAGGAAAAATCATTCCACCCACAGGAAAAAATATGTGTAAAGGTACTGGGGAAAAGTATGTCTCTTATGTTTAAGAAAACACCAAGGTCACTGGGGTTGGAGCAGACATGAAGGTAAGGAAACAACAGAAACCTGGAAAGAATAAAGCCTTGCAAACAGTGATAAGGAGTTTTTAAAGGCAAGAGTGACTAGATCTGAAATGTTAGGATCACTGGACAGCTGAACTGAAGACTGAAACGGAGAGGGGATGGGTAGAAGGGAAAAGGGAAGAGCAGGGAGATCCATTTGGAGGCCACTGGAAAAACCCACATGAAAAATAACAGTGCCTTAGAGCAGCGATGAAGGTGGTAAGAGGCAGCGAGATATGGCGCACACTAACAGAGGAGCCCAGAGGACTTTTTACAGTCAGGACCAGACCACAGAATGACAGGGGGCAGTGAGGATCGAGGTTCTGGGCCACAGCAAGGGAGGAATGCTACTCCTACAGGAAGCGCAGGCCCGAAAGCAGGGTGTGAGCATCAGTCATGCAACCTGGAACTCTTTGTAATTAAACATGTCTAGCAGGTTGTTAGCAAGGGAAGCCTGCAGCTGACGGGAGAGGCCTGCCACGCACAGGACACTGGATGAGATTACAAGAAGGGCTGTCTAGATGAAGGAGGTGTCCAAAGACGGAGTTCTGGGACTCCAGTTTAAGAGGCTGGAGAGAGGAAGCAAGAATAGAGTGAGACTATGCAGCCAATAAGGCAGGAAAGAGCCTAAGAGTGGAGTCGAAGAAGTCAACAGAAGAATGTCTGGAGACTGACTGACAGTGGGCAGCAGCAGCAGTGACTGGTTACCTTGATGAGAGCAGCTTCACCGGGACAGGGTCAGAGGCCTGAACGGACAGGCATCAGAGAAAAACGGAGACAAACTAGGGCAGCAAACAGCAGAAACACTGCAGCAATTCTGCCATATACAAAGGGTAAAGAAACAGCAGTAGCTACAGGGAAATGGAATGTAGAGTTGGGTTTGCTTTTTAAATGGAACCATCACTATGTTTGTTATGATTAGGGAGGCAACACACACAGAAATAATCTTTTAAAAAGATGATAAACATGTAACAGTGCTGCAAGCAATATGAAGCCAGTTGAAAGTCCTGCCACTCATACATGGGACGTGAGTTATGGTAAACACGGAGAAGGTACAGTGTGTCAGGCAGTATTGTATGGACTTTCCATGTACTAATTCTTTTAATCCTTGCAACACCACTGAAGGATGTTCCATTATTATCTCCATTTTATAGATGAGAAAACTGAGGCACAGAGAGTTAGTTAAACCCTGTGTCAAAAAGACAAAACCTTTCAGTAGATACTGAGTACTGTAGTTCATAATTATATGTAAGACTCTGTTCTAGCTACTTTGTGAAATTTTCTAATTTAATCCTCATTTTTATAGATGAGGAAACTAAACAAACCACAGAGGTTAAGTAACAGTAGGGGGGGATTTCCAGAGGTATTCTCAAGAACACATTGTCCAAAACATACCTATACACCAAAATTAGTTACTCACCTCTTCATCAATTTTATCTTCTAAGGCATCAATATGACGTTCTTTAAGAAATCTCTGTGTTTTTTCCAATTGGTATTTCACTAACTCCTCAATGGCATCTTTCTCTTCCTTGTCTACAAATTCTTGTACAGCCTCACCCATCCCTCTTTCTGTTAGTAGTGAGAGCTGAACATTCTGTAAAAGAGATGCAAACCATTAGATGCAGAAATAGTATCTAATTATAAAATAATGATGAAGAGCAAGGCAAATTACAGGATAAAGTTATCAGAGAAAAAGATAAAGAAGTTAACCAGTTATGTAAGAGGGAGGGGGAACAAACTGCTAGACAGTAGTTAAGCCTCCTGATAAAAATTAAGGATCAGAAAAAGAAAAGTTACATCAAGAAAAGGGAGGGGAGTCAGGAACAGATGATGCGAGACATAAATGGCTGGGACACATAGTCTACAAATGGCTGCTGCTGATTTAGGGTTCAGGTTAAACCATTATATTGGCAGGAAAGATAATTTCCCCTTAAAGACATCCAAGTCTTAATCTCTGGGACCTGTGAATATGTCACATGATGAACGGGAATTACAATTACAGATAGGATCAAGGCGTCTCATCAGCTGACTGTAAAATAGAGATTACCAGGGACACTTCAGGTGAATCCAGCGAAGGGAAACAGTAGGCAGAAGGGAGCCCAGGGGAAATATATGTGGGAAAGTGGTCACAGACACAACACTGCTAGCTTTGAAGATGGATGAAAGGGAACTAAAAGTCAAGAAATGTAGGCACCACTAGAGACTAGGAAAGGTAAGGAAATGCATTCTCCCTTAGAGTTTCCAGAAAAAAAAAACACAGCTGTGCTGATACCTCAATTTCAGTCCAATGAGACCTGGGAGAGATTTCTAACCTAGAAAACTGCAAGATATTTGTGCTGTTTCAAATAAGCACAACTAGAGAAAGTTAGTGTGACATATATCCCGATAGTTTGAATAGCTTCATAATTGGTTGGCTGGATTTGTAAAGTAATTCTGAAATTACATTCAAATAATCAAATTCTGCATTAAGACCTTTAAGTAGAATTAAAAAAGAGAACAGTAAGTTACACTAATAATATAACATTAACTGAGCACTATTCTTCTTCTTTTTTTTTTATCATCATCATCATCATCATCATCATTTTGGGTCTTGAGACAGGATCTCACTATGTAGGCTAGGCTAACCTTGAGCATACTATGTGGCCCAGGCTGGCTTAAATTCTCAGCAATCTTGCCTTAGCCTCCCAAGTACTGGGGTTACAGGAAAGTGCCACTAGTCCCACCCTAATTTTTGTTGATGTACAACGAATATAACTAAATGTCACCCTACTTACTTCATAGAAACATTGATAGAGTTTTTGTTTGTTCTTTTTTGAGGCAGAGTCTCGCTATGCAGTTCAGGCTGGCCTTGAGCTCACTTTGTATCCCAGGTTGGCCTCAACTCACAGTGATCCTCTTGCCTCAGCCTCCTAAGTGCTGGGATTACAGCAGTGTACCACCACGACCAGCCAAAATGGTTCATTTTAAATTAGCCAATTACTCATGCCCTAAATTAGAATCTATTATCATAACATAGCCATTATTCAAAATATAAACTCTAAGACATTACCTTCTCCGCAGTTTGAAAATACTGTTTTACAAGGTCCTCTACCCTAAGAGTTGTTCCTTCTGTAGGTTTTGTGATAAGCTTCCCAAAGTTAATCTCATCTCCTAGAAAAAAAAAAAACAAAAATTATCTTAAAAAACAACAACCAAAAAACCCAGCCTCTGTTATGTTAAATCAGCCAAGCTCACTGCAGCTCGCTGTCACTAGAGTAGGAATGGCCAAGCTACCAATTCCAGCTTGCTCCACACAGTACTTTCAGGCAAAAAGAGGGCATCTTTGCTAAGAGTCGCTCTCTCCCACTGTCAGTATTCCCTTCCCACACTCCAGGGAGAGTTTCTCCTGTGGGCCTTTTCAGGGAGTACACCTATGGTGGATTAATTAACGGTCAATTTGAGTGGGAACGCCCAGATGAACTGAGTCAGCATGGTTCTAGGCATGGAAGATATATCTGACTGTTGCTGGAATAGTGTAGGAGAATGGGAGGGGAAGATCACGCTGTTCATTCTCCTCAATCTAGCAGTGGCTGGCTTTTTTCCTGATACAACTTGGTTGTTCTTGGAGGAGGAGCTCAGGTCCTCGCTGTGGCCAGGGATGGTTGCGGTTCTCTTCCGGAGTGCTCTGACCTTCATTTTGAGCATTATTTCCTGGCTCTATCACAGATCCTTCACCCTGCCTGTACAGACTTTCTAGCTTCCATGACTGGCCTTGGAGCCTTCACAGAGCAGATCCTTGATGTAGATTGGCATGAGATGTTCCTGTGGGCTCTAGGACTGGCTGAACTCACTGGAGACACTGCTGTGGGATCCAGGCCCTTGGCTGGATTCTTTGGGTCTGTAGCTTGGGAAAGAGATCCTGTAGTCCTCTGCATTTGACTTTCTGGGCGATTATAGAATAATCCCTTAAACTATATGTCCTTTATTAAATCTATTCCCATGCAAACCACTGACAATACAGTGTCAAATCAAAACAATTTTCATGATACTACTACAATGACTTTGCCTTTTTCATTGTGTGAATGTTCATACTAATAATACAAAAGCAACTGGGGATGAAACTGCCAGTGCCTTGGGTTGAGACGAGGTGGTGGCACTGAGCGTCACACATGGTACCACCATACAGCCACAGTTCAAAATAGTCAACAAGCCAGTTTACTCAAGAATGTCCCCAAAGAAGCAATAGACACTGTAACTCAACTGGATCTCAGCACTTGAGCACTACTTTTTCAACACTGCGTAAGACAAAGGACATGTGCTTAAAGCACTTTTGCTGCATTCCTACAAAGGATGATTCTCTGCCCTCAAAAAACCAACAGGACGGAACAAAAAGAACACACGGGAGGAAGTCAGGAAACACTGGATCTAGGATTTGTCTGCTGAGATCCCTTCTGTGGTAAATGAATGTTAAGTGTCTAGCAGGTATGAGGATCTGGTATTAAAATACAACGATGAAACTCAGTATGGTGGCGCATGCCTGCAAGTCCAGCACTCAGGAGGCTGAATCAGGAGGACTGCAGCAAGTTTGAGCCCAGCCTGGGCTAAGTGAGTTCAAGATCAGCCTGAACTACATAGTGAGACCCTGTCTTTAAAAAACAAACAAAAGTACAATGATGAAAAAGATAGTTCCCTGAGCATGAGAACAAATGATGACAATACAAGGTGGTGAGTGCAGGGGATATGACACACAAAGCAGTTAATTCTTCAAGAAGGCTGAATGTCCTGTGCAGATATCCAATCCAGCTATCATTTGAGTCAGGAACTGCAGAAGGAGTAAGATTCACTAAGTAAACGAAGGAGAAAAACATTTCCATCAGGAAAAGTATGTAGAAAGTATGTACAAAAGTATGTAGAAGGTCAAGAGGCACAACATTCAGTGTCTCTTGCCAAATTCACAAAAATCTTATGTGAATTTCAAGCAGGAGAGTTAATATTACTTCATAAGTATGATTAGTACTTTTTTACTTTGCCAGATAGTGTCAAGACTATTAACACTAAGTACATCATCTAGGCCTCACAACAATCCTGAGGCCAGCACAGTTATTATTCTTATTTTACAGATAATGCTAAACAGCAGAGGGTCTTAGCAGAGTTGGCCAAAACAACAGGAAATGCAGAACACAGTAATGTCCAGTAAGACTGCAAAAGTGACACTGCTTCTACTGAGCAATATAAGTTGAATCAAAAAAAGGATTGTTAGAAGGAAATACACTAGCAACAGATTTAAAGAAAGTATATACTGTAGTTTTCTTTTTTGTTGGTACCAGGGATTGAATTTAGGGTCCCATGCCTGCTAGGGAAACACTGAACCAAAGATCTACATGCCCACACTTATTTTTTTCTTGTTTTGAAAAAGTCTTGCTATGTTGCCCTCACTGGCCTAGAACTTGCAATCCTCCTCACTCAGACCATTGAGTATAGTTCTCTTCTAAATACTACACGAAGGGGCTGGGGATTTAGCTCAGCGGCAAAAGCGCCTGCCTGGCAAGCGCAAGGTCGTGAGTTCGGTTCCCAGTATCGGAGGGAAAAAAAAAAAAAAAAAAAAATTTGTTAAATACTACACGCATGATGTTTCAAGGAACTGAAAAGGGTACACAATGAAAGAAAACCATCAGCAGGAAACAAATAATTAAATCTAAGCTAATAAAACCAGGGTGACTTACTAGAGCCATCTGTTCATATGAAAATTCTCTTAATTACAATAAGAGCCTCTATATTTAACTGATATTTCTTATGAAAAAAATCAGTATTTCATTCAAGGACCTCGTTTTATAAATGTTAGAAAAGAACAATTTGTTTTTATAAAAATTTTAATTGGAAATTAACTACCTGGATCATCAAAACATCAAACTATAGAAAACTTACTTCAAAAGCCTTCCTACACCATTGTACACTCTCAAATTAAAATAATAATGCAAAATCTCAAAGTATATTTTCTGAACATTAATGACATATAGTAATCCGTGTTATTAGTCAGTAGCACTGTTTTAAAACACTG